GGAGGAACCTGACTCCTTCACTAAGCTGTGGGCTTACGGTGATGGTATCAGTTTTGCTCACCAATGATCCCAAATGCCTAGGACATACTACATACTCAATAAATACTTGTTTAATTAATAGATAATTAAAATATAATTTGAGCTCATAAAATTCAAACTTTCATTTTGTAACTGAGAAAACTAACCTATAGAGAGTTTAAGCAATTTGCTTAAAATTTCCAAGGATATATATATTCAAAACTAAGACCCAGATCTGCGTAAGTCCACACCATTACTTTTTTCCTAAACACACTAAAATAGGGCATTACCCAGAAATCATAAAAATCGTTTTGGATGGTGACCATTTCTATGAGTTGAACCCATTTCCAAAATTATCCAGAAAGTTTACACAGTTAAACAATATTTTATTTTGTATCTACTCATTCATTTCACAGATATTTGTTGAACACCTACCATGTGGCAGGCATTACTCTAAATGTTGTGAATGTGGCAGTTGTGTAGAAAGCCCAGGGTTTCCTGAACAGCCTCTTTCTAGTGGGAGAGACAACAGCAAACACAGAAAAAGACCCATAGTTGGTGATAAGTCCTTTGCACAGAATTAGCACAAGATAAAGGGATAGAGGGACTTTGAACAGAATTAGCACAAGATAAAGCGAAGGAGGGACTATTTTGGATGATGTAATCAGGAGGCCCATCTGAGGAGGTGATGCTTGAATTGAGACCCGACTATGAAAAGTGGTCGAGGAGTTCTGGTGGAAAGCAGAAGGGACGGCAACTGCAAAGCTTTGAGTTGGGAACAAGCCTTAGTAAGTTCCAAGAACAGCAAGTGTGGCTGGGCAGGAGGGGGTTCTGACTCCAGGATGAATGAGGAAGTAGGATCCGATCTTGGCTGGCTGGTCCAAGGACACTGATGTAATCTGATTTGGCTTTTCCTCTGGTTGTTAAGGAGAGCACTGTGGGGTCAGATGGAAACAGGCCAGCAGCAAGAGGAGTCCAGGTGAGAGATGAGAGTAGGGTAGCAGCAGTGGTAGTAGCGAGAAGTGGTCGCATTCAAGATTTGTTGACTCTGCTGATGGATTGGATATTGCAGGTAAGGAAAAAAGAGAACTTGGGATACTTGCGAGGCTTTTTGACTTGAGCAATTGAGTGAATATTAGTGCCAAAAACAGAAATATTGGAAAACTCAGGAGAAACATTTGGAGGGGGGAGATTTCTTTTAAATCAAGAGTAAAGTCATGTGTGGAGTAAATAGCACACAGCGTAGACCACAGAGAGAAAACAATTTTCAATATGGTCCATCAGAAACCTTGTGATGCTGACATTTTCTCTAATAATTTTACCTGTGCTTATATGTTGTGATATATTAAGTATGTGAATAAGAAGATTTGGGCAGAGTATTAGACAGAGTAATTAAATCAAATAATTGAAATATTAATACTTTTTTAGAATATTGGTATCATTTTTGTTTGTTTTGCCTAATATCGTTAATTTTCCTAAATTTACAGATAGCGAGTTAAAACTGTTCCTTGATAATATGTAGCACTATTTACAAAACTATTTATTACAGCAATGATTCTAGTGTCAAAATAGGAAGTAATCTAAATCATCATCAATAAAGTAAATACATATATTCTTATAACTGAATATTATTATGCAGATACAACAAAAATAAATTTTTTATGCACTGATATTGGAAAATCTTTAAGATGTATCCAGTAATAAAGGCAAAGTATACAATAATTGGTACAGTATGTTACCTCTTGTCATTAGAAGGGTAGGAAAATAAAAATATGTATACAGTCTGTGTTCACTTGCATGAACATGAAGAAACTCTGGAAGGACACATAAAAAAACTAACCACAGTGTTTATTTACGGACAGGGCATGATGGATGGGTGAGCTAGGTAGATGGGGAATACGAGTGTGAGGAAGATTTTCTACTAGATGCCTTTTTAAAATTTTTGAACAATATCAATGTAACACCTATTCAAAAAAATTAAATTAAGAAAAATAACATTAGGCAGAATTTAAAGAATGACCAGAATTATTATTGAAAACACACTGTGCTGCCAATAGAAACTTTTTAAGCAAGACACTTCCACTGGCCTCTGAGCAGCCTCCCTGAGAAAGGGAAGATGAGCTTCTGATGTAAACTCTTTCCTCTTTTGGACTTTCTAATTCTTACCTCTCAGATTCTGCACTCAGCCTTCCAACGTGGGTAAGAAAGAGAGCTGAAATGTCTAGAATCTAATATGAAAGTGATAAATAAATAATCTTATTATATTTGCTTGATTATTTTCTTCTTACTATGCCAAGTTAAGTGCTTTGCAGTACTTTTTTAGAATTCATTTACTCAAAAAAATTATCTCTGAGGTGCAACATGCTGCTGTATACCCTAAAATATAAAAATTAATTTAATTTCTGTTGACTCTCTTGATACTTTTAAGATATAAGGAGGCAAGGAAATGCCATCCTTTTTGCAGGTGAGTATATTTCCATGGTCCTAAAAGATTATTAGGATCATAGAAATGCAGGTAAGTATATTTCCATGGTCCTGGCCTGAAATGGCTCAGGGCTTAATAAGAACAGCACATGCAATTTGCCAGTTTAGGAGGTAAAATCCACTTGCATCCATTGCCTTTCTAGGTCATGATAAGGATCAAATTTCACTTTTGGAAAAGACAGCTTGTCTCTCTTCTTACAGTGAGTGTTTACCGTGGTAAGAGTATGAAGTAAATTATTTCAGCTTTGCGTTTAGGTTTAAAAACATGCTTTCACTCGTTTATTCATTCCAAAAACATCAGTCCTCTCTCAGGGACTAGACATTGATGATAGGAGCGAGGGAGACATGAAGATGACGAGGCTTTGGGCCCCATCCCAAGAAGGTGGCATCTAGCTGGGGGAGTAATGGCATGGCCATAAATAACACAGTACATGGCAGAGATGATCGGTGTCTTAGGAAAGGTTCAGATAAAGAGCTCTAAGGAGACAGGTATCAGCTGAGTTGACAAAGCAACAAAATCTCATCTCGAGCCCCAGGCAAACGTCACAGATGTGGTCTAGGTCAAACCTATCCCCGATAGTGAAGCCTGAAAACCTAGCCTGAGAGCGGCTTTTTAACCCAGTGTTCCCCGTATGGCAGCTGAAGGATATCTCTTGATTATATATCTTAGTTTTGAGGTTTTGCTAAGTCTTCGAAGTACATTGCTCACGCTGATGCCTGAATAGGTTTTGATAGTGACTGTCGACATAAACATGATTTCACCTTAGAAATAAATTTAGTTCCGTTTTTCCCTGCAAGTAAACAAGGTCAGTAACTCCCGTTAGTCCAGCTGCATAGATGAAAATTGGCTAAAACTTCATTTAAAATAACCGCTAATACTTTTTAAGCACTTACTGTGCTTACTTTATAAGCATTGCTTCATCTAGTTCTTACGTCAGACTTAGAAGTTAGACAGTTATTACTGTGCTCATATTACAGATGAGAAAATAGAGACGTAAAGAAATTATCTATAGTCATACTGTTACTAAGTGGGAGAGCTAGGAGCTCAATTTTGATCTGTGTGATTTCAGACTCAAGATCTTAAGCCTTATGCCAGTGATTTTCAAACGTTAGCATGTATAGAATCACTTGAAGGGGTTATTGAAACACAGCTTGATAGCTTCACCTCTAGTTTCTAATTTAATGGTTTGAGAGTGGGCTACAAGAATGTGCATTTCTAACAAGTTCCCCTGTGATGCTGATGCTGAGGCTGCTGATGCAGGTGCTGCACTTTGAGAAGTGCTGCACTCTGTTACACTTCTACCAATGGTAGTTTCCCCAGTGTTCTTTGGAGAAACTTGAACCCAATCTCACTGGATAAATATTTATGCCAGTTCTCCCTTTACTGGAATAATCAAGAATTCACTGGAGATCTTTGAACAGACTAACTCACAGAGATTTAAAGCAAATATTCAAAATATTAAAATTCCCAATTAAATAATTCATTTTCTATGAAATGAATATGGAATTCTTTTTCATTAAGGGCAAGGCTGATCTTTCTACATGAATTATGAAGATTTTTAAATTAGTTGAATAACATTCTGATCACAGCTTATAATAGTTTCAGTGCATATTTTGTCCTTCAAACAGACATATGATACGAGAATTAAGAAAAGGGCCTGGTGTGGTGGTTCACAGCTGTAATCCCAACACTTTGGGGGGCCGAGGTGGGCAGATCACTTGAGACCAGGAGTTCGAGACCAGCCTGGTCAACATGGTGAGACCCCGTCTCTGCTAAAAATACAAACAATTAGCCAGGCGTGGTGGCATGTGCCTGTAATCCCAGCTACTGGGGAGGCTGAGGTAGGAGAATCGCTTGAACCCAGGAGGCAGAGGTTGCAGTGAGCCGAGACCGTGCCACTGCACTCCAGCCTGAGCAACAGAGCGAGACTCCTTCTAAAAAAAAAAAAAAAAGAGGAAGCACTCAAATTCTAAAAACAGCACTGGACAATCAGGAGAAAGCTATCTTCCTGGCACATTTAAATAAAGGAAGAGGTGTTTATCTTACATCCCACTGTTGTCTCTTCCCAAAGCATCTTGTACTTTCTCCTTAATGGCATTTACCATCCTTGAAATTATCTGTGTAATATCTCTCATCTCTTCCAAATCCTAAACTCCACAAAGATTACATCTGTCTGTCTTGTTTGCCACATTCCCCCAACCTGGGACAGTGCTTGGCAATATTTGTTGACTGGTTGATTTACTGCTCCGTGATCCATAATCTTACAAGCAACAAATCATAATCCCAGCAGTTACAAGTCTGTCTAGTGAGCTCCAGAGAGAACTTTTTACAGAATATACATTATGTGCTGGGGGTGTGGGGGGTGAGGAGAGGAGAGATAATTATGTGAATGCAATATGTTTTTGCGCCCCATTCCTAAGCCTTTTCTCGAAGCACATCTCTGAGATGTCTTCTTCCTGTTAAATGATTTCTGGGTTGGAATATAAAGAAAACACACTTTGCTTGAGAGAAACTAGAGTTTAATGAGGCAAAAAATAAAAACATCTTATGAATCCAATCCAGCTGTGTGGATATTTCCTGCCAAAAGGTGTAGGAGTTGGAGTAGTAGGGGATGCACATGAATGCAAATGCAAATGAATGTCTGGAGGCCCAGATGGACTGCAGGCTATATCAGGACGATCCAGTGTCTGTGTTCTCATTGTCATGCTCCAGATGACACAGTAGCTGGTAGCTGTCCCCACCATTGTACACCAAGGGAGAGGATGCTGACTGAGTCATCTCTCTCAGATTCTTAGATAACATATGTCTCTCTTCACTTTCATAGCTCTTGTGATGACACTTGATAGGTTACAAAGTACTGGAAGAATAGTTGTAAAGATCAAGAGGTTAGACATGAAAAACTTCAGATGAACTCCAAGCAAATAATTGAACAGAATACATTTGTGATTTAGTTCAAATGTGAGTTACCAACATCAGAAAGATAGGAACTATTTGCGCAAACTGATTCTTTGAGGAAAAGCCTTCATTCTGCGAGTTCCTTAAGCACCTGTTTGATTTACATGATGATGTTTGTTGTATTGTGCTCTAGTGTGATGTGCTATTGGCTAATATGAAAAGAGATACTTTTGGCTGATGTGATGCTTTTGGCTTACTGTGTTTTTCCACATTACCCAATAGCATCACATTAGAGTCCTAAAAATTCCCATTTATTACCATACCTCCCTTAAAGATATTTTTAGGACTTCATTATGTTACCAAGTACCACCTTTTAGGGTACAATTTCCTAGGGGATTTATTTCTGGAAGAGCTGTATGTGTCTTAAGCAATTGGTTTGCTTTCTATCTTAAGAAAACCAAAAACTTGTGTAATTGATTAGGGTTCAGTGTCCTTGGTTAGTAGTAAGAGGCTTAGGAAAATGGGGTATCATTGTTTTCTCCTTTGTAAAAATACTGTGTATATATTATACTGTGTATACATTGTGTTTTCTGTTTCTATTTTATTAATTTTTGAAGTTAACTTATATCCATTATGTAGCAAGGTACAAATAAATTCATTCAAAAATACTTTCTGAGCATTTATTAAGTGCCAAGGACTCTTTTAGATGATGGGGATTCCATATTGAACAAAATTAATGTGGCTCCTGTACTTAAGGAGCTTAAGTTTGTAAAGACATGAAAAGTTTATTAAGGCATGTCTTGAGAGTAGATATGTATTCTCCCAGTGATCTTGGGAATATAGTTTAACCTCTCTGAATAGATCTCCTTTTTCTAAAATAGAACAGGATAATACCTTTATTTTGTAAGATCAAACACATAATGTACACCTGTTAACCTGTTATATGAAAAGTTATCTGCCTATCCCCCACTTAAAAACAAAATCTATTTTTTTCAAATGCGTCTGATTTAAACTCTGCATCACAAAAATGGATGTTTCAGATCCTCACTTAAAGCTGAGGGATGGATGCTTACACACAAATTTGATTTTATAAAAGGCCCAACCCAACTCAATCAAGAAGAAATTGAGAAGGGAGAGAAAGAAACTTGAGTAAATTTCCCTCTAAAAAGAACAGGATGAAGAAAGGAGAAACCACCTGGAGGGCAGCACACTGGTTCTGGTTGGGAAGAGAGATGACAGACAGACATAACGGAGGTTCCACTCAGATGAGAACTGTGAGGCTCCCTCTTTCCACTCCATTCAGTTTTGCCTCCAGAGAATAAATGTGAGAGCAGGGAGCCTGAAGGAACACCTCCTTCTTGTTTTCCTAATGGACATTTTGCCAGGTGTCTCTCTACAGAGTTAAGAAAGGTAAGCACTTCTAACATTTAACTATCCTTAAAAAGTTGGCCAAGCACAGTGGCTCATGCCTGTAATCTCAACATTTTGGGAGTCTGAGGCAGGTGCATCATTTGAGGTCACTTGAGATTCGAGACCAGCTTGGCCAACATGGTGAAATCCCGTCTCTACTAAAAATACAAAAATTAGCTAAGCATGGTGGCACACACTTATAATCCCATCTACTAGGGAGGCTGAGGCAGTAGAATTGCTTGAACCCGGGATGCAGAGGTTGCAGTGAGCTGAGATCGCGCCATTGCACTCCAGCCTAGGCAACAGCACGAGACTCCATCTCAAAAAAAAAAAAAAAAAACAGTTATTTGTTTTTTATCTTCTTGCCTCAAAGATAGAGTTGAGTGTGGAAGTGCCTGCTTGTATGTCCAGATCGTGACCGCCTACTCAAGGCACATCGACTGCTCACCCAATGGCAGCCTAACCTATTTGCAGACAAATTACTCAAGAGGAAAAAAAAACATTCTGCTAAAGTCTGACCCTGCATTCCTAAGCAGAATGGAGCCGGTGTTCCATCAAGTGTGACTCGGCGGTGCTTGCGAAAGAGCCCCTAATCATTTGCCAAAATGCAAGACTGAGCCCCTAACAACAAGTAAGTCTGGGAAAGGTTTTCACAAGCCTAAAAATGATTTCTATTTAGCTCGTACACACTTATCAAGTACCTAGAGAGAGGCAGCTTGCTGTGGTAGTGGGAAGATTTCCAGCTTCAAAGTTAAGCCAACCCAGGTTCAAATCCCACCACTGCCACTTTAACTTAAGTATTATTAAAGGAAGTATTAGAACCTACTTTGCTGGAGTGTTTCAAGGATTCTATTTGATCTCCCACATAAAGAGTTTGGCAGTGTCTTGTTACTTCCCTGACCTTGCTTTTCCATTTTACTGGTTACTGGTGTACACACACAAAAAAACAATCCAGGATGTACAGATGTGAAGCCACTAGAGCATAAAATGAGGCAGTACTTGAGGAAGTCTTAGAATCTGTGAAATATTTTTCCAAATCCACAGCTGTCCTTAAGCTGGCCTGAGATATACAGTACACTGGAGAATTGAGTAGAACTTGAGGACCCTAAAAAAAATCTCATATGTTTTCATTCCGTAAGAACCCTTTTATTTTATTCTCTACTGTCTGTGGATGTGTCACAGGAGTGTCCACAAATACATATCAATTGTAGCATAGTGCTTATACCATTGAAAATTCATGGTATTTGCTGTCTTGCCCAAGATAAAGGAGAGATGAGGGAGAAAGAAGAAAAAAAGAAAGAAGAAATTATTGATTCTCAAATGCCCACAATATTAACTTCCTGCACTGGGTTCCTTGGCTACAACACTGTAAAACGGGTATCATTATTCTCATGTTAACAGATGAGAACAGAGAAGCTCAGAAAGGCAACCTTGCCACGCCCTTCTAAGTGGGAGTACTAGGACTGGAATTTAGGCTTTTTGCCTCCTTGGTCCAGAGAGAGGTAGAAAGGGAGTTTTACTAATGAGCCACTTCAGTGACACTTTAAAAAGCTACTGCACCACACTGTCTTCAAGAATTTTATTTTAACATAAAACTATCACAGTGCCTTCTAGAAGAAAGAGCATAAATTTGAAGGTCAAACGTACCTATCCCCAAATCCTGGATTTTACCATACCCACCAAATGTGTGACCTGTATAAAAATATGAACGTATCCAGATTTTGCTACTTGGAATCCGTATGCTTTTGCCCAAGAAAAAAATGGATGACAGTGGAAATTGTGAAGTACCGCCAAGTAGAACCTAGCACTAGTAGAGGATCATGGCTGACAACATGGGCCTAAGTATACACAAACTTGGCTTGTAATCCAGCTCTCATGAGAGGCAACAAAACCTAGGAGTTAAAAGCACAGACCCTGAGGCCAGAGCCTGGGTTCTGTCCCACTCTGAGGCTTACTAGTTCTTCCCAGTTAACCTCTCTGGGTCTCCGTTTCTGCATCTTTAAAATGGTCATAATGAAAGCATATACCTCAAAGAATTGTGATTTAGGTACAGTCATGCTCCACATAAAGACGTTTCAAGGTGGGGCACGGTGGCTCATGCCTTTAATCCCAGCACTTTGGGAGGCCAAGGCGGGTGGATCACCTGAGGTCAGGAGTTCAAGACCAGCCTGACCAACATGAAGAAACCCCATCTCTACTAAAAATACAAAATTAGCCGAGTGTGGTGGTGCACGCCTATAATCCCAGCTACTCAGGAGGCTGAGGCAGGAGAATCGCTTGAACCCGGGAGGCGGAGTTTGCGGTGAGTCGAGATCACGCCATTGCACTCCAGCCTGGGCAATAAGAGCGAAACTGCATCTCAAAAAAGAAAGACATTTCAGTCAACAACAGACCACTTATATGACAGTGGTCCCATGAGATTTTAATGAAACTGAAAAATGCCTATCACCACTGACATCATAGCAGTGCTAACGTCATAGCTCACTGCATCACTCACTTGTCTGTGGGAATGCTGGTGAAGACAAACTACTGTGCTGCCAACTGTACAAGCCTAGCATGTGCAATTATGTATAGTATATAATACTTGATCATGACAATAAACAACTATGTTGCTGGTTTATACATTTACTTAACTATACATTTTATCATTATTTTAGAGTACACTCCTTCCGCTTATTTAAAAAAAAAAAGTTAGATGTAAAACAGCCTCAGGCAGGTCTGCCAGGAAGGATTCCTGAAGAAGACATTTTTATTATAGAAAATGACAGATCCATGCATGTTATTGCCCCAGAAGACTTTCCAGTGGGACAAGATGTAGAGGTGGAAGAGAGTGATACTGAAGATCATGACCCTGTGTAGACCTAGGCTAATGAACATGTTTGTGCCTTAGTTTTTAACAAGATTTTTTAAAAGAAAAAAAGAGAAAGAAATCTAAAAATAGAAAAAAAAAAATTATAGAATAAGGATACCATACACAGAAATATATATTTTTTACAGCCGTACAATGTGTTTGTATTTTAAGCTAAGTGTTATTACAAAAGGATCACAAAGGATTTTTTTAGGCCAGGTGTGGTGGTTCACTCCTGTAATCCCAGCACTTTGGGAGGCCGAGGCGGGTGGATCACCTGAGGTCAGAAGTTCGAGACCAGCCTGGCCAACGTGGTGAAACCCCATCTCTACTAAAAATACAAAAATTCGCTGGGAGCGGTGGCGTGCACCTGTAATCCCAGCTACTCAGGAGGCTGAGGCAGGAGAACCACTTGAACTTAGGAGGCAGAGGTTGCAGGGAGCCGAGATCATGCTACTGCACTCCAGCCTCGGTGACAGAGTGAGACACTGTCTCAAAAAAAAGGGGGGGGGTGTTAATTTAAAAACTTATAAAGTACAACAGTTACAGTAAGCTAAGCTTAATTTAATTATTAAGGAAAGAAAATTTTTTAAAATAAATTTAGTGTAGCCTAAGGATACAGTGTTTATAAAGTCTACAGCAGTATACAGTAATGTCTCAGGCCTTCAAACTCATTGGCTCACCCAGAGCAGTTTCCACTCCTG